TGGGCAGAGAGTTCCATAGTTGGTATCGCATCTACTTAGGCATGGCAGCTTGCCACTAACATGTCCATGATATGAAGAGTTTTTACTCCTGCAGTTGCATTGTAAATACAGCGGCAAAAATACTGCAATCGGGTGGATGTGAGCAACCCACAAGAGTAGTCTAGTTTGCTATGGGGGATCTTTGGTCTGACCCGTGGAGGTTAGCTAGGCAGCCCAAGGGAGTTGGGTACTTACAAATACAGAGTAGTGATGGGGAGCAAATGGCAGTATAAGAAATCAACTTAAGTTCGCTCCCGTTACTNNNNTGATATAAAGTTTTACCGTTTTTGTTTCTTCAAACTCTACTGTTCAGACTTTTGATATTTATTATATTTGTTCACTTTTGCAGAAAAATTCACTTCAGTACGGTCATAACCTTGGGATCCATCTTCCCAGACAAAGCTCCTGTTGTATCCCGCCAGGTGCCAGGTACCCACCTCTATCCTATAACAAAAGAAATACCCAACAGCCCAAGCACGTAGACCTGAAAGAAAGCGATCTTACAGGATGAGGTCTCCCTAGCCAAGGGGGTATGAAGGGTCATAGAGAATCAGGTGGGCACTACAGTGGCAGTGCAGCCTAAAAGCCTCTGTAGAAGTAGGCAAAACAAGATAGTCCCTAAGCCGTCGATACTTAGCCAAACATGTCCTAGTATTCAACTCTTTAGCAAACTCCCCAGCTCTCTCCACAGGTGGCAGACCCATAGTGGACTCTGTTGCAGCCAGTTGGCAATAGGGAACTAATACAGGAGATAACTCTTTTAAGTCAGGGACCAGTGGGATGGGTGAGGTCTGGTCTTGCTTAATCCGGCACTTCTTGCTTTTTTTCCTCTTCCTACACCTAAGAGTAGGTCTAGTAATAGGAGTAAATGGGTCACTCTCACTACTACTCACCACTATAGGGGAGACGTTACCAGAAGCACTACCCCAACCAGCCTCAGGCTCAGCTACAAAGGACTCAGGTACCTTCTCCCTCAAAGGGCGTGATACCACCACAGCTGGTAATACCACACCAGGATCCACTCCACTCATTCTAAGAGCAAGCATCTCAATCGGGCCCAATAAATTAGAAACTAATCCATTCACACCACTACCCACAATTGAAGCTGCAAGAGGGGCCGAGATAACCGCCAGCATAAGATTCTCCCAAAAGAGCCTCTCTGCTGGACAGTGAGAATTTTTAAGGTCTAGTCCACTCCGCATAACTGAGGCCACAGTAGTAGCAGAAGTGACTAAGAAGAGAGGGGAAGAAGGAGTAACTGGAGGAGCTTCAGCTACCAACATCATGAGGTACCTACGATTAAGAGTACATTCCCTCACCAGGTCTACTGATAAGGTAGATATCTCTTTCTCAGCAGGATGAAATCACAGAGAATGAACTGAGACGTGATACTGAAGGTGAGAGACTTTAGACTCTAGAGTAAAATTATTCTCAACTTTGTGAGACAGAACTACCAACAAATGTAAAGTGGATGTGGCAGAAGGAGGAGAGGCTCATTTACCAATTGTGATGGTAAGGATGGGACAATAATGAACAACTGAAGGAATAAGTAACAAAAAAGAAAGAACTTCTAGTAAACATAAAAGAATGTATAATAACGATATCCTGGAAAGGTGACATAATAAACAAGTCATATGATCCCAAGTGGTCACATATGTGAAACTTATGACCTTGTTATGAGGTCATGTACAAAACATAAATCCTATGTATAAGGCATACTTGCAAGGCATACTCACCAGGTACACGTCCCATGACTCGTAATCGAGTAATGTGTGAAATATAACAAATTATAATATAACAAGTTATATGATGTAAATAAGCCATATATGCGAAATAATAACATACCTATGACTGATAATTATGAGTCATGTGAAAAACTTTTCCATGCCAAGCCGCATTTGTGACAACATGACTCACTCGAGTCATATGACTTATTTATATTATGATTTATTATATTTTTTATATGACTCAATTATGAGTCATGTATTTCACACATATGACTCACTCAAGGCATACTACCAGTTTATGAGGTTTTACATGACTCAGAGTTATGAGTCATGAGGGTTAGGGTTGGCAAGGAGAGTACTATATAAGAAGGCTAGTACAGCTGAGGAGGATAGACTCTTCATACTTTGTTCTAAGTAATTTCCTTACTTATTACTTTATATGAATAAAATATCTTTATGCTCTTTATCCTTTACATTTCTCACAAGCCTAAGGGTGCTGTCTTTATACATTCATGATAATAGGCATTGCTTAATTGAGTGTTAGTAACGTAGACTAAAGGGTCTAAGAACTATTAAATAGGAGATAGATGAAAGAAAGGTGTTATTGCTTGTTGCTATATACTAACATGGACTTAGGAATATTACCTTGTAAAAGTTTTTTTCATACTAGTTTTAGTAGTGTCTCCTACCTTATTTTTAGTTATTATAGTATCATGATAGTGCTTACAAGGCATGAAAAGGCATGTCAATACACCTGTCCTGATTGCAGTTTATACAGGTAACATTCTGTTAGGCGGAGACAACTTGATAGACTTCAAGATTGTTTAAGCCAATCGAGATTCGTTTTTGTAGACGGAGATTGTCTAGGAAGGCTCGGACTTGGCTCCATTCGGTTATGACTACTAGGAGCGAAGTAAAGTAGGTAAAGTAGGGTAGAATCGTAAAGACAATATTATATTGTTAAGGTCTCTTCTCTGTTGCTTGATGATGTCTAAAGCTTGGGAGGCACTTCGATATTTATATTCCATATCTGAGTGTTTGCGGACTACATCTATTTATCATACAACTATGTACTTCTTCAATCGTAATTTACAACGTTGAGTTTTCTTCCAAGGTGCACACACCTGTGGACCCTGAAAACCATCACACCCTCTTAGGTAATTACGATATTTCTTCTTAGGAAATGTACTGTTCCCAATAGTAATATCCCGATTAGCAGGGTCTTTAGACTTATGGCCTAGTTCTTAAGTTGAACTGAGTTGACTCCAATTGTCTTCGCCATTGATAAAATGATCAGTTTTATCTGCAGCTATATCTGCAAAGGTGGTTGTCATTACAATCATCGTAGGTCGTCTAACTCCGATCCTTTGTAACTCCTTATCCAACCAATAGATTTTCTCTGGAAGACTTCCTATTAACTCGCAGGAAGCTATTCCACCAGATTGGTAATTAATCACTCGGTCGGCAACTCTTGGTTGCTCTCTGGGTAGTAGGTTTCAGTAATCATTGTAGTATTGAGAATCACCCCATGGTTACGACATGTTCTGAAACCCAGTTGCAACACTCCGTGAAGTTCGTTGGCTTCTTTGGTAGTGTCTTTTGGAGTTCTTAGACTCTTCTGGTGGATGTAAATGTATTGGTCTCTAGTAGAGATCCTTTACCATTTGATACCATCTCTTTGTGCGAAATCGTCCCGTTACTTACGGCCCATACCCAAGGTATCATGCCTTTGAAGCCACGTAAGTCTCTAAGTAGTTGACAGAATCACTCCGTTCCACTTCTCAGACCTAGCTGAAGGTCCTCTCTCATATATCCTGTGAACAGGATCCAGTCGGACAGACGGCGACAACATATATAGTGTTATTCTAATACCTTCAATTCTGTGGTAATATAGTCACAGGACACAACTGAGATTGATATATATGATGACGTGCAGGCCCCGTAAGGGAGCCGGAGGGGGGTGTTGGAGACCAGAGATTCCAATTCCGAGTGGGGTTACCCTACTTAGGGTGGTTCCTAGGTATCAGGTTCTGGTGTTCCTAACACATTCAAAGAAGTACGCCTGTATTTGGATGGTACATTACATACTCAGCTTGTGGTATACCAAGAATTTGGAACCTCCCTAATACACAACCCCCCAGAATACACAGTCCTCACTAATTGGCTCGTAGCTCTGGATTATTAAGATTCGGCCTATCAGGAGTGAGCCAGGAGCGAACTGTGTATTTGAGGGGGTTGTGTATTTGGGTGTTCCGCGATTGTATCTTAGGACCTTGGCTGAAGGTGCTTGGAAAAAAAACAATTTCAAACCGTCTGTAAATATGTTTTTGTGGATACATTTTGAATTGAATGGTTAAAATAAAAATTTACCAAACAGGTCCCTAGATTGTTAGCCTGTGTTTCTCGAGAAAAGTTTTAATAATGCTTTTTTTAAAAAGTGTATAAGAAACCTGTAATTAATATAATGCCCTTTCCCTTTTATTTCAGAAAAAAATAAAAATAAAAATAGCTTCTCATTCCCTTAGATATGGTATTATTCCTGGGATGTTCATCAGGCATTTTTGGACTTATTCTATGATACTTCTTATTATGTTTATTGGATTTTGGTGTTCGCGTTCATGCTTTCCCTAACTGCTGTGCGATACTCATTGGTGATCACTTGAATTATTATTATTATGATATGATAATATTATTATTACCGGTATTATGATCTGATATTATTATCATTACAATATTATGGTTGCGTGCCAAACAAGGCCTAGCGAAAAAAAAAAGGAGGTCGGCTTGTGGATGGGCTTGGCGCTGTTCTGGGTTT